TACTCGTCATTGTTAGCCCATTGCAGTGCGTCACCCAATGGGCAGGTAAGCATTCTACTTCTCCCGGAGCTGGGGAGGCTGCGAGTCGAGTAAGTCGGCGGCCTCTCGACTGTCATCAAACTTGCTGACAGTTTTCTTAGCTAAGAAAGCCGTGAGGAGGCGGAGCAGATAGCAGTCGTAGGGGACTACGTCAGGAGAATGATGAGCGGGTCTAATCTTCCAGCGTAGGTTTCCATAATAGTATGGTGTCTCCGTCCTCGGGAACGAGGTGTCCCGAAGCTAGTTCTCGGTCATTTTTCTCCAAGCAACTTCCACCGGTTTCAGGAGCTGAGCGACACAAATGGTAGCGGTGATCGTGTGTTCTTACAGAGCTGCTCGTCTCCCAGCCTTGCTCCTCAATTATTTGGTAGGTCTCCATAGCAGGTATGGGGTCTCGCGTACTACGAACGAGGTGCCCCGAAGCTAGTTCGGTCATTTTTCTCCAGCAGTTTCCATGGGTTTACGGAGCTAAGCGGCTCAAATGATAGCGGTAACGTGTGCTCTTACAGAGCAGCTCATTGTGTAGCATTCCCCTCGCATCCAGAAGCAGCACCTCAAAACCTTCTCGGTTTGCATGCCTCGGTTTGGACTGCTAGGATGGGTCTTCTCCTTGAGAGAGACACACGGTACTGTGTGGATTGAAATCATAGAGGACCCATCTCTCATCTCCACTAAGCAGTCTCCTGGAAACTCCTTCTGACGAGGGCGGAGAAGGGGAGACTGACCAAGGGGTACCCGGGTGCGCAGCGTGCCATCGGTCAAGGTATGAGTGATCCATCGAGCCAGTACTTTTCGGTAGCCAAGGGCTTATCAGCTAGGTACACCCGAGTCTTGCCTCAAGACGGGTGGTAGGCTCCGGTGCCTCATGACAGCTTCGAGAACGGTGGAGTCTTCTACTTCGTGGGGCCATTCCAACCGAGGTTTGTCTTCAAAGATTGTATTTCCTTTCCGCCGAAGCGAGCAATACACGACTGCATAGACTGATAATTGGTATCCTTCCAACTGTTGCGCTGTGATATTGCGAGCAAGGCCGTGCTTCTACTGGCTGGCGGCGGCCACCGCATAGAATATGATTTCTCGAAAGCTGTTCTATAAGAACTGACATTTGTAATTAATCCCACGAAGAGCAGGTGCCTTTATGTGATCCTTACAGAAAAGCTCGGAGAATGTTCTACAAGCATAGTATGTTACGTCATGTTCGAGCATCAAGAATCAAAAGCTGTAAGCTATTCAAAATCACCGACAGATTTCTTTCGCGCAGCGCTGTTACTGGTGAATACTGCAGGGCCAGATTCGCTCTCTACGAAACTCACCTTTATGGCTGCGGGCTGTCATTTTGCACCAAGTACTTGTCAGAGAAGGCGTTTCAATGTGCAACGGCGATTCCTCTCAGCGAACTTCATACACTACACCAGCGGGTTGCAGTGTAGTGGAAAAAAAAAATTGATTTTTCAAAGTAATGGAACAAGAGCTATGCTGATCTTTTCAAGATGTCTCAGAAACAGTCTCCGCATTCTCGGACTCATTTCACAGAACTCTTCCAGTCATTCGTAACAAATCCAGATGCGGTAAAATATAAGCCTCGAGCATCTTCCTAACTCTATCTATCTCAAGAACCAGTCCACGCGATCACACAGGCCGCAGCTTGGATATATCAGTATGTTTCGCCTATCTGGAGCTTAACCTCTCCTTGCTCTCTAAAAAAGGGGCGCATCAAGCAGAGAAGATGCAAATGTGGCCGCGACTCCACCCAACCGCTCAGCGTGGAATGTACTTCAAATGAGGGGTGGTGCAACGTGCAGTGTGGAATCACAACCACACGCACCATTCAGGAAGGGAGACGAAGTCCGTACTACAATAAGCTTCTTCCTTTTATGGTTTAGAGAACCGCACTGGCTTCGAGAATAAGAAACAACTGACCTGGTGCACGACGAGGCCTCACCACCACCCAAGAAGAATTGACCACAGCTCAGAGTTTTGTCCTATGCGCTTCAAAGTGCACCACTTTCTCAGTTTGGGCCATTAGGAAAAGGCTCTTTTCTGTATGTAGGTCTCAGCCGGTCAATTATGATTGCGCGAGAGTTTTTCTCGCTCAGTGCTGTCAAATATTGCTCACGTTACACCGATTTGTTTGAAATGGGCAGGCACCGGGAAATCCCTTCCAAAAAAACTATCAGGATGACCCTGATCACCTTCACCTTTCTTCCACTAATTTGAATCTAACTGTAAGATGATTTCAGAACCGGATGAGACAGCCTCCATTGATCAATTGTGGCCAGTTTAATAGGGAAGTAATCACTGGAGAAGTTTCTTCGCTAGGACGCTACTGTCTTCAAGCGTGCACACGAAGAGCGGGCATCACCGCGCTCTTTTAGCCAGTTTAGCAAATTGCAGTTCAATACGTGTCATCTCTTCCACTTCTCTCTCTTCTCCTTAGCTTTTGTATTTCTAACAAAACGAAAGAATATGCTAGCAAGCAGTTGGCAGGCCCTCTGAGAAGCAACTCAGCATGCCATAAGTCCTGGTTGATCGCTAGGGGTGCGGTTGGCCATACTAGTGCCATCTTCACTGCAACTCCCTTTCTGCGCTGTGCCTTTTTAGTTGGCGGGTTCTTCCTTCTTTATATAATCAACGGGAAAAGCCGCGAATGGGGGGGGGGACACTGATCACATTCATCACGACTTCGAACGTGAACTGCACTCTGAAGGCAGTTTGGGTTATGCTAAATATGCGAAATAATGACAATAAACTTTGGGGTACAGGCACTCTACAATAATTTCATTTACTTTAATCTTGGTCAGTCAAATTAAATTAAATTAAATTGAACTAAAATTGTTGATCAATGGACGAAAATCAAACAGGTATGTACATGAAGCTGATTTCCTATCAAGACTCTTCCAGCGATGATTCTTATACAGCTCTACTTAATAGATGTAATTCCACGAAAAACAAGAGATGTCTGCTGAATAAGTAATGAGAAGCTAACTTACTTGCTGCAAATCGCATTATAGTGCATGAAAGCGGATAACACCATTGCTGCTCGACTAGTATTGCCCTGAAAGAAAGCCTGTATATAATATAATATATCTCCTTCTGCGTTCTTGATATTTTCGTTGTCCTAGTTTCCTGATGGTAGGTTATCACTACCAGCAAATTAGAATGCAGCGGAAGTGGACTAGGGGCAATTGGCGCCGCTTACCACGTGTGTTTCTTAATTGGCCGGGACCCTGTTGCCTCCGCCGTAGCATGCACTTGTGGTGAAAGCGCCCTCTCGCTGGGGCCACCCCCTCCTTTCTGAGACCAGCAATTTGGTAGCGGACTTCAGCGGGAGGACAAGAACAATGTCCTTTACGCTGATTTCAGCAAGTCAGTGCGCAGACCCATTCGCCTTCGAAGTTTCTGATTCTGAAATGGAAAAAGGGTCCACCTCGCATTCAAAAGTTGTTTGATCAACGCCAAAATCTATCTTTTGACTATTAGTACTAGATTTATTCTGTGAATAAGCGATGAACGAGATATGAGGCTGTTATTTTACATTCTTATCATTTTCAGTCATGGCTAATGGTGACCGCTAACATTCCTCGAGGCACAAGCTCGACGTCGCCTCAAACTCACCTCTAGGTAACTCAACTAACCTCAATAATCGTCAAATATTTTTCGATTTCCGCCCCCCCCCCCTCCTCTCTCGCCTTTCCTTCTACACAATTTCTACAAGCACTGTCCTGTCTTATAGAGCAACGACTATTAATTTTTTGGGAAAGTCAGACTACTTGTACGGCAGAGGTAGCACTTCCTCCTCCGTTTGATCTGGTCTATCGTGAATATGCGCTGAAGAAACCTTACACAATGGTTATATCGGCGGGTGAAGTCAGGCCTCAAGACCCGTGCTTTCCTCAGGTGAACTATCCTTTATACGGTAAAGGAGGCACACCACTTGAAATGACCAACGTTAGCGGTCCCCGCCATACGATTAGCGTGTCCTGCCTAAGCCTTTCTAACAGTAACTCACTTTTGCCTTCAATGTGTTTACACGTCGTTTTTCGCTGGCTAATGCTTCGAAAGGCACGCAAGAAGTGAAGTTTGCTGGCATGGTCAGTTCCGCTTCGTCAGGACAATACTGTTTTTGTTTACGAAACTGGACTTTTGTAAACATAGAGATTGCCTGTGGGTAGTGGTGTGAAAATTGTCCGAATAGCTGACATGCACTAGGAATCACGGTTGCTGCTGGCGAGAAAAGGCTTAGGCTAGCATCCCCTCATGAAAAACAGTTTTCTCGCGCAGTGGCAGCAAAGAGGTCAGCCCGCTGGTAGAGCACGCGCTGATATCCCGAGTCGCGCGCAATTCAAGCGGTCATTCTATACCCTAAAAGTGCAAGATCAGTACGCGATACGAGGCTTAGGCAATCGCAAACCAGGAGTACTGCCTAATCCAAGCGCGTGTACACTCATGGTAGTGTTTGTTAACCAGATACAGATGCCAAAATAGTGCTTGGACGCATAGTGCGAGACAAAACCAGAGCATCGAAGAAGGAAAGGTGAGAAATAGACCGCTCTTCTATTTTGAAATGAATTAAGGTGCAGTTCGCCTTGATGGGGGCAGGAAGTGACAGTCAGCGAAGCCCGCACAGGTCACCCTCGGAAGACCTGCAAACCCTTGTAGTCGAAGTGGTTCACACGTAGTTGTTACTTACTCCCCAGCTTCCCAAGAGTATACAGATCTCGACAAAATGAAACCTGTTAGGTGAAATGGGGAGAAAAATGAGAAAAAAAAGAAAATGAGAATAAAAGAGAAAAAAGGAATTAGCAAAAGTGCAAAATGTCCCTCCCAAGCGCCCGGATCAATCATAAGAATGAGCACAATATGAGAATGAACCGAACCTTGCAGTGAATGACGATCACATTGTTGTTGTTGAGCGAGAGCCATTGTTCGAACTCCTTGCAAAGGCTGCATAATCTGTCGAGGGGTGGAGCTAATCGTTCCGGCCACCCATTATTTTCAGCTGCCAAACAGCGCGATAGGTCGTGCCGCGGTCGCGAAACGTTCCATACCTAAAGCCGTCCAATGAGATGAAAAAATATAAGAGGACGGTCAAAAAATGCGAAATCGTTAGCTGGTAAATGACGCGTATATTTCTGCAATTCCTGACCAACACAACAAAGTTCTCTGCATTCACTTGTATCTTTACATACGTGGGTCTTCTTAGGAAATGAACGACATTTTTCATTTCTTCAATAAGTAAGTGTACTAGACAGGAAAAAAAATCAAGACCGAAACAGAGCGTGGCTAGTTATTCCGCGTGAAATCTTTTCGTTAAACCATAGCCATGTCTCTCTTTGGATACATTGAACTAGGGTAAAATTTGCCTGGGTTCTTAAAGGCAGTTGGCATGATTAATCCCACAAGACGACTAGGATCAATACTCCTACAACATTACGTCCCAAACGCCCGCCACGCCCGCCCGCCCACAAATGGACGACCGTTCCTGACGCTCGTATTCATTCATTTGCTAAGCAAATTATGAAGCGAAGGGATTGGTATGAAGCGGCCGTGATGCTGCATGGATATATGAGTACACATATGCAGCCGTATTTCGGTCGGATAATGATTGCAGATGCCTACGGGAAACTCGTCCGAAATCACGTTTTCAGGACAGAGATACGAGCTTTTCTTCACAGATTCTACCTTCACTCGCGTTCTTTCTACCATTTCCCCACATAAGAGACTTACTAGCATTAGGCAAGTAGCGAAACCCATGCGTGCCAAACCTGCCCTTAGTATCTATCGCCACTGCATCCAGTTCTTCGTGTGTGATGTGCATGCATTCTAGTGTGTTTAGAATCAGCAGGGGCCGATCTGGGATCCGATCCCCGTACCAAGCGCCTGGTAAGGGTGCTACTCGCCACTACACCACTTACCTAGATACTTATGTGAGAGGTACATTTATATTCCTACACCTTTCACCCGCTATCACTCTTAGACACGATATGGATTGAAGCTTTCAAACTTCGCGCTCTTACTAAGTAGTCAGGGGTTCTGACTGACGGCTCCGAGCGCAGGCTTCTCTGCATTCATAAAATATTCGAGCTGATGCGGCAAATTAATCCTAGTCGGGACTCGAACACCCACAGTTACGGGGCAAATGCCCGGGTATCCATTAGGTCGAATCTCCTACCTTCTCAGCTCAATGGCTTATCATAGCAAAAGAGAACTTCTCTAAAAAGCCTCTCACAATCATTAATATTACTAACTGAAGGTTTCGTACAAGGTTATCTTTACAGTCTCGCATTGATGCTTGAATATCTATGTTTTCAGCCGCACCACACGAAGGACATTACCCCTGCATGGTAAGTGAGAGGAAAAAAAAGTACACCACTCAATCTATACAATGCAAAATTGGATAATAGGTTTTCGAGATGAAACCCGATAACCTGAAATCTCAAGCTAGAAATCAATATGAGCACAGAACAGTAGTAATTAGTTACCTGATCTCAATTTTTTTGACTGAAATGAGAGATCATATCGTGCTGCACGTATGACTTCAATGTTAGAGATCCCCTGTTATTCTGGCATGCATAACTGATAACTTTGCAGTTAGTCGGGGCGGTCTCAGGAGGGGCGGAAGGAGCCGTAAACTCCTTGCTCTTCTCTGATGATCGCTTAGTGGTCCGATTAGGGAAGCAAACAGTCAGTGGTGGGAACGCTGCAGGCGGATACTGACTGGTTGCGATGATATAAACTATTTACTATGTCCTGAGTTAAAGACATAGTAATGGGTTCTCGTGGAAGAAAAAAAAGCGTTCAAAAAGGATTACTCCGTGTGAGCGCTTGCACGATGCAACAAGCCACAGAATTCGGCAAGTGTTTCACTGGCGCATGAACTTAGCTGGAGAATCGGTGGTCACGCTATCGGACAGGAGCTCAGCAGATGGAATTGTGAGAGCATATTTGAAGGCAGTTGGCACGACAAATTCTCGAGACGAGTAGGATTAATACGCCTGGCAGGACGGAATTCCGCGCCCCTGAGCAGGCGCTGCGTAGCGCCTTTTCAAGGAAGGTGCCCTTATAAGGCCCTATCAAGCTGCAACATACCGACCCGGACGCCCACCGCGCCCCCGCCCACAAATGGACGACCGTACCCGATGCTCGTATTGCTTCAGTGCCAAGTAAAATATGAAGCGAAGGGATGGTATGAAGCGGCTGCGGTGCTGCATGGATATATGAGTACATACGTGCAGCCGTACCTACCGTAGCGGTTATTGGCAAGATGCCTACGGGAAACTCGTCCGAAATTGCTTTTTGAGTCATGAAGAACGAAGGCTTTTCTTCGCAGGTTTTTGACCGTTTCACTTCGTTTTTTCGCCATTTTCCCCACTATATAGCACCCTGCTAGCATTTTAGACCGAGTACCAAATTATCGTGCCAACTGCCTTCAAACCAAGTGCTTCCGCGAACGGAATGACGGCCGAACAACCAGCCGCACCATAAAAAACCTGAACGCTGTTCGGCTTGGAGGAAGCATTAGATACTTGCACAGGTTCTCTATGTTGGTTCATGTTAACTAATTGATCTCCTTTTGCAGTAAACTGCTGTGAAACTGGGCAATTGGTCCGAGTGAGCCACTTTGACCACATGCACTTACAATCATGTTCGCTGTGGATGACTGGGCGTGCCAGTGAGGCCAGGTTTGACCACCGCCAAGTCCGCCTCTACACTGGGTGTCGAGCAAGCGCAGCAGGTGGTGGAAAACAAGCGATATGAACGATATGGTTTATTATTCATATCGTATCGTTCACAGATTTGTCGTTTAATAAAGAAACCATTCTTGGCGCTGTGCCGAGCTTATCCCCTCTAAATGGCCTTACGACTGCCCAGCGTAAAATACTGAACAAGTTTTCACAGGCTTGCCACAATCTTGGCCAACATTGGTCGGTGCCCCTACGGAGCGGAACTGCGCCAAACCTGCGCGTTGCAGTAACAGAGCTGTCATTGATGCTAAAGATTCACTAAGGTTGGACATGGAATGAGCCTTTTACTGCTGTTTGTCTTAAGCCGAACTCGGTTTATGATCGCAGAAGAATTCAGGAGAACTGTACCAGATACAGTACTCCTAATTCCTTAACGTTCACGAGAAATTAACTATGAAAAATTTGGAACAGAATGTAAAAAGTTTAGAGAATACTAAGCAGAACCGTGAAAATTGATAAATCTACAACTTAAAAGTGAGAAAAGGAAACGGATTTCAGAACTAAGGTCCTCCTATTCTGACTAACGATGCAACCGAAACCTATAGCTGCTGCTGTTTCATGAAATTCGAGAAATTCACACCTTATAGTGCTCGAAATGCTTCGTCTTCAGCGCCAACGCTGCATTCTTCAGCGATGACACGTATGCTTTTTCCGTGCCTTCATCTGGTGAAGCGAGAACTGAAACAGCGAAAGTTTAGAGGTTCAAAAATAAGAAATGTTCAAAAAAGTGCATGATTGTAGAGAACTAACCTATAACTCGAGCTGTAACATACTGTAAAGTGAGGCCTTCATCAACCGAATCACAACCAACCATACGAGGACTCTGAAAGTACACCAATCTAAGTTTTCAAGGTTAACGACGACAGGTTAACAGCTCATAAATACCACAGAATAATGGGAAAACGAGAGGTTGGAAGAGACAGCACCTTGACTGAAATATGACTGCTATCGATCTGCACTTACAGTCATGACTTCTGCAAACGCGAGAATTCGTATGGGGGCGTGGATAGACACACAGCCAGCGCCGCCTTTTCCACCAGTGATGTCACCCTGAACCTTCACCTATTGGTGGGAAAGCCTGCTCTAGCCTCGCTTCTATCCATGCCCCTTCAATCGCGTTTTCGCTTGCAGGGTTCATGGCTGTAGTTATATCGAATCTACAGGCTTCTTGCATTCCTCGCAGTGAAGCCTTTGAGGCGTGTCAGGGGGAGGAATTCGATCATAACGTTCCTTTTCTGTTTTTCTTTTGGCAAGCAGCAACACATTAGCATATCTTTCAATCAGTCGTTTTACACTAACTATTGTCGCTCATTCCTAGCAACGAGTGCTGGAGAACGGCTGGCGGTGCGCCAGACCCACCCCCCGACACGCCCCATCATCCGCAGCGACAAGGACGTGCAATTTATAAACTGAGCCCAAAAATGGTGGAGCCAATAGATAATGTTATGGTATGCCCACACAAACGATGGCTTGAACATTAGTAGCCCTTCCCATTTTCCCATTTCCTCCTCAATGCCCTTTTTGGATTTGTGGCTTTTATGAATGAAATACGACTTCTGCTGCTTTCACGAAACCGAAAATACCCCCCCCCCATTCAAAGTGGCCAGTTTCTTTGTTTACCAGTTATAGTGCACACAGTACGGATGTTCGTGCTTCTTTTGATTCGGCTCGTCATATACAGTTATGTTTGATTCGGCTGGTCATATACAGTTATGTTTACAACAGAAATTTATAAAAAAATATGTGAAAAATAATAGGCTCTAATAAAATAATGAATGAATAATAAAGAGTAGGCTTAGTACTGTTTCGGTTCAAGAGGGGATGACGATAAGAGTTGAAAGGGCCAAAAAGAGAGTTGAAAGGGCCAAAAAGAGAAAGTAAAAACATAGAAGAAACTGCGTATAGGAAAAGGACGGGGAATGATCTTAAAAGTGTCAGAATTGAAATCAGCACAATAGAATTGTTAAGGCGTTCGAGCGGGTAGGTTTCACATTTTTTGTCGATTCCATGCGAAGACGCCGAACGGTAAGCCTAAAAAGCCTCTCAAACTTGCAAAGGCTCGGAGATACACTAAAGATCAATACCAATCAATACTACTAGAATTTCCAACGCCGCCTAGCAAAATGTTTTCTGAATTCGAGAATAATTCTGCAGAGGTACGTCTCAGGTTACACTACATTCCATGAGCGCCACCTCCGTCTGCAACCAATTAACTACGCTGTACCACTTGAGAGCTACCGAATGGAACAGGGCAAGAGTACTTCACGGTTTTCCCTTTTAGCCAACCGTGGTCAAATAAATATAAGAAAGGATAAAGCTATACGGTTTCATTCAATCCCACGCGCCACTCATTACTCTGTACTTTATTTACTTGCAGAAATGTGGAAGAATTTGCATTTGATTTGGGCTGTGCAAAAAATTACGGGGACAAGCCGCTGTTAATATCAGGGCAGGTTATCTTCACAGGTGCAGTCGTAAAGGTTGGTGTTCCCCTCGATTTTTATCCTGCTATTCGATACTCCAGTGCCGATTAGCTGAGCGAACGGAGTAAAGCAAAGCAAAGCTTGCTCGATCGGGATCCTTGATGGGCGGAATTTGCTCGAGGATCTGACCCTCCGATAGTGCGCGTGGTATGCTGCGCCCTTCCCCGCTAATCCACCTCTACCTCG